TGGTGGCCATTGAAATGCTAATTGAGGCCCATTAACAACCAGCATCTGCCCCACCCTTGGGAAATCCTCTTACACTGAGCACCTGAGAGAGTTTATCAGGCAACTCAGAAACCAAGGTACTTCAGGTGACCTCTACTAATAGCCTCCAGGCAAAAAAAAAAAGCAAGAGGAGCCCTGGCCGGTTTGGCTCAGCGGTTAGGGCGTCGACCTGCGGTCCGGAGAGAACCGGTTCGGTTCCCGCTAAGGGCACGTACTTCGGTTGCAGTTTGTCCCCAGCCCTGGTTGGTCGTGTGGGTGGCAGCCACTCGATGTGTCCCTTCACGTCGATGTTTCTCTCTCTCTCTCCCTTCCTCTCTCTCCCTCCCACTCTATCTGTACAAGAAATGGAAAGATATCCTCGAATGAGGGTAAAAAATTTTTAAAAAGCAAGAGGAAAGTTAAGACTTGACAGTGGTGGTTAAAGTGGGTCCTCCCTGCCTCATTTAAACCCAGGAAAAGGAGCCACAAACAGCAGAACACCAACACCCACAGGGAAAATTACGCAGACTCCAAAGCCCACAGTGGTAGCCAAAATGGTGAAAAACAGAAACAAAAGCCAAATGAAAGAACAAAAGACCTCTACCAAAGATGAGATAAATGAAGTGCAGTTAAGCAAGTTAACAGAACTAGAATTGAGAGCAATGATCTTGAGGAAGCTCAACAGCATGTGTAAGAACATGAGCTCCATGAGTAAAGTCATAGAAATGTTAAAAATTAACCAGTTGGAAATTAAAAACGACGTATCAGAAATGAAAAACACATTGGAAGGTCTAAAAAGCAGAGTAGAGGAAGCTGAGGACCAGATCAGTGAATTAGAAGACAGGATAGAAAAAAATCAACCAATCAGAAAACCAAAAGGAAAAAACAATTAAAAAACAGGAAGACAGCTTAAGAGCACTGTGGGACAACTGGAAACATAAAATATTCGCATCATAGGAGTACTCTAAGACGAAGAAAATGAGCAAGGGTTAGAGAATATATTGAAAGAAATAGTGACAGAAAACTTTCCTAATTTGGTGAGGGAAGAAAGCATTCAAGTTCTAGAAGTACAGAGAGCCCCAAGTAAGAAGAACCCAAACAGGCCCACACCAAGACACATAGTAATAAAATTAAAGACAAAGAGAGAATCCTAAAAGCAGCAAGGGATAAGCAACGAGTCCCTACAAAGAAAACCTCGTAAGGCTCTCAGCTGACGTCTCACAAGAACCATGACAGGCCAGAAGGGAATAGCATGCAGTAATCAAGGTCATGAAAAACAAGGATCTGAATCCAAGACTACTCTACCCAGCAAGGCTATCATTCAAAATGGAAGGTCGAATAAAGAGCTTCCCAGACAAAAAAGGCTAAGGGAATACATTAGCACCAAACCAGCACTGCAAGAAATGTTAAAAAAAAAAAAACTGCTGTAATTAGCAGGAGAAATGGGAAGAAAAATAGAACCACACTTAAGAAAAATACCAATAAATAAGTACATATCAATAATCACCTTAAATGTAAATGGACTGAATGCTCCCATAAAAAGACACAGAGTAGCTGATTGGATAAGAACGCATGAGTCATTTATATGAGACCCACCTCACAACAAAAGACTCACATAGATTGAAAGTGAAGGGATGGAAAAAAATTATCCAAGCAAAGAGAAAGGAAAAAAAAGCTGCGGTAGCAATACTCATATCTGATAAAATACACTTCTAAATGAAGGCCATAACTAGAGACAAAGAAGGCCATTACATAATGTTGAAAGAATCTATCCAACAGGAAGATATAACCTTGATAACAATATATGCACCCAATATAGCAGCACCAAAATATATTAAAAATCTTCTGGAGGACTTCAAAGAAGAAATCGATAGCAATACAATCATAGCAGGGAATTTCAACACCCCGCTGACATCACTGGATAGATCCTCTAGACAAAAAATTAGTAAGGAAACAGAGACTCTAAATGAAGCACTGGACCCAATGGATTTCATGGATATCTACAGAGAATTACAGTCCAAAACTACAGAATTCACATTCTTCTAAAGTGCACATGGGACATTCTCAATGATAGACCAATGTTAGGGCAAACTAAGTCTCTACAAGTTGAAGAATACTGAAATCATATCAAGCATCTTCTCAGATCAAAATGGCATGAAACTAGAAATCAATTGCAAGAAGAACATACAAAGTCATTTGAACATATGGAAGCTAAATAGCATGCTATTAAACAATGAATGGGTCACTGAGGAGATCAAGGAAGAAACCAAAAACTTCATGGAAAACAATGAAAATGTAGACACAACAACACAAAATCTATGGGATGCAGTGAAAGCAGTTCTGAGAGGGAAGTTCGTAGCACTACAGGCCTACCTCGAAAAACAAGAAAAATCTCTAATAAATTATATAACCTCACAACTTAAAGAACTCGAAAGCAAACAAAGAAAAAAACCTAAGCAAGTAGAAGGCAAAAAATAGTAAAGATCAGAGCAGAAATAAATGACATAGAGTCAAAAAAAAAAAAAAAAAACAATTCAAAGGATTAGTGAAACAAAGAGCTGGTTTTCTGAAAAGATAAGCAAGAGTGATGGACCCTTAGCTATACTCACCAAGAAACAAAGAGAGACAGCCCAAACACACAAAATCAGAAATGAAAGAGGAGAAGTAACAGCGGACACCACAGAAATACAAAAGATCGTTAACAACTACTATGAACAATTATATGGCAACAAATTCGACAATCTAAGCAAAATGGACAAATTTCTAGAAAAACATAGTCTCCCAAAACTAGATCAGGAAGAGATAGAAAACTTAAACAGACCAATAACAACAGAAGAAATTGAAGATGTAATCAAGACTCTCCCAGCAAACAAAAGCCCAGTCGCGCATGGCTTCACGGGGGAGTTTTACTGAACATTCAAAGAAGAACTAACACCCATTTTCTCAAACTATTTCAAAAAACTCAAGAAGAAGGATGACTACCAAACTTGTTTTGTGAAGCCAGCATAATTCTAATTCAAAAACCAGAAAAAGACACTACAAAGAAAGAAAACTACAAGCCAATATCCCTGATGAACATAGATACCAAAATCCTGAAAAAATACTAGCAAATCGGCTCCAGCAATACGCCAAAAAAATTATCCACCATGACCAAGTGGGATTCATCCAAGGGATGCAAGGCTGGTACAATATTCGCAAATCAATAAACGTGATACACCAAATAAATAAAATGAAGAATAAAAACCACATGATCATATCAATAGATTCCGAAAAACCCTTTGACAAAATCCAGCATCCATTTCTGATAAAAACGCTCAGCAATGCGGGAATAGAGGGATCATATCTAGACATAATAAAGCCATATATGAAAGACCTACAGCCATCATTATACTCAAAGGGCAAAAACTAAAATCATTTCCCTTAAGAACAGGAACAAGGCAAGGATGCCCACTTTCGCCACTCCTATTTAACATAGTACTGGAAGTCTTAGCCACAGCAATCAGACAGGAAGAAAAAATAAAAGGGATTCAAATTGGAAAGGAGGAAGTGAAACTGTCATTATTTGCAGATGACATGATACTATACATAGAAAAACCCAAAGACTCCATCAAAAGTTTACTAGACTTAATAAATGAATTTGGCAAAGTAGCAGGATACAAAATTAATGTCAAGAAATCGATGGCATTCTTATACACCAATGATGAACTCACAGAAAGAGAAACTAAGCAAAAAATCCCATTTATCATTGCGTCAAAAAAATTAAGATACCTAGGAATAAACTTAACCAAAGAAATAAAGGACCTATTCACAGAAAACTACAGATCATTGAAAAAAGAAATAGAGGAAGATATAAAAAAGTGGAAGCACATACCCTGTTCATGGATTGGGAGAACTAACATCATTAAAATGTCCATATTACCCAAAGCAATCTATAGATTCAACGCAATCCCCATTAAAATACCAACAGCATACTTCACAGAATTAGAACAATTATTTCAAAATTTCATATGCAACCAAAATAGGTCTCAAATAGCCACAGCAATCTTGAAAAGTAAAAACAAAATTGGAGGGATCACAATACCAGATTTCAGTTTATACTACAAAGCCACTGTAATCAAAACAGCCTGGTACTGGCACAAGAACAGGCATATAGACTAGTGGAACAGAACAGAGAACCCAGTAATGGACCCAAGGCATAATGCTCAATTAATATTTGACGAAGATGGCAAGAGCATACAATGGAGTAAGAACAGCTTCTTTAATAAATGGTGCTGGGAAAATTGGACAGCTACTTGGAGAAAAATGATACTAGACCATCACCCTATACGAGAATAAACTCAAAATGGATAAAAGACTTAAATGTAACTCATGAATCCATAAAAATCCTAGAAGAGACTGTAGACAAAAAATGTCAGACATCATACGCAGCAGAATTTTTACTGACACATCACCTAAGGCAATAGAAACAAAGGAGAAAATGAACACATGGGACTACATCAAACTCAAAACCTTCTGCACAGCGAAAGATACAAACATCAAAACGGAAAGTCTACCCACTGTATGGGAGAGCATAATTGCCAATGATATATCAGATAAGGCGTTAATTTCCAATACATATAGAGTGCTCATACAACTCCACAAAAGGAAGACAAAGAATCCAATTAAAAAATGGACAGAGTAACTAAACAGACACCTCTCCAAACATAATATACAAATGGCTAAGAGACATACGAAGAAATGCTCATCATCACTAATCATCAGAGAGATGCAAATTAAAACAAAAATGAGATATCACCTCACACCTGTCAGATGGCCGCCATCAACAAATCATCAAACAACATGTGTCGGCGAGGGTGTGCAGAAATGGGGACTCTAGTACGCTGCTGGTGGAAATGCAGACAGGTGCAGCCACTATGAAAAACAATATGATGTTACCTCAAAAAATTAAAATTGAACTTCCATTTGACCCAGTAATCCCACTTCTAGGAATATACCCTAAGAAGCCTGAAACACCGATCAGAAAGAATATATGTACCCCCATGTTTGCAGCAGCACTATTTACAATAGCTAAGATCTGGAAACCGCCCAAGTGTCCATCAGTAGACGAATCGATAAAAAAGCTGTGGTAGATATACACAATGGAGTAATATGCAGCTGTTAGAAAGAAAGATCTCTTGTCCTTTGAGACTACATGGAATGACCTGGAGAGTATCATCCTGAGTGAGGCAACCCAAACAGAGAAGGACAAGTATCGTATGTTCTCACTTATTTGTGGAATATATGAACATAACAGTCTCAGGAATGGGGTATTCCCAGAGACGTGAAGGTGGGGTACCGACTGATAATCCCCAAAAGAGGGCATGGTGGGAGAGAGATAAACCACAGAACTTTTATGCATGTATGCATGAACAGTGGCCATGGACAACAAACTGGGGACAGGGCGGGGAGGGAGGATGTGGGTGGAATCGGTGAGGGAAAAGAAGAAACATCTGTAACAAAAATTAATTATTAAAAAATAAAGAAATTAATTAAGAAAAAGAAAATGAGCAAGGGTTAGAGAATATATTTGAAGAAATAGTGACAGAAAACTTTCCTAATTTGGTGAAGGAATAAGGCATTTAAATTTAAGAAGCATAGAGAGCCCCAAGTAAGAAGAACCCAAACAGGCCCACACTAAGATACATAGGAATCAAACTGCCAAAAATAAAGACAAAGAGAGAATCCTAAAAGCAACAAGAGATAAGATACAGGTTACCTACAAAGGAAACCCCGTAAGGCTTTCAGCTGACTTCTCAACAGAAACACTACAGGCCTAAAGGGAATGGCATGAGGTAATCAAGGTCATGAAAAACAAAAATCTGAATCCAAGATTACTGTACCCAGCAAGGCTACCATTCAAAATAGAAGGTCAAATAAAGAGCTTCTCAGACAAGAAAAGCCTAAGGGAATACATTAGCACCAAACCAAAACTGCAAGAAAGGTTAAAAGTACTGCTGTAATTAGCAGAAGAAATAGGAAGAAAAATAAAACCACACTAAACAAAAATGGCAATCAATAAATACATATCAATAATCACCTTAAATGTAAATGGACTGAATGCTCCCATAAAAGGACACAGAGTAGCTGATTGGATAAAAAAGCATGACTCATCTATAGGTTGTTTACAAGAGACACACCTCACAACAAAAGAGTCACATAGGTTGAAAGTGAAAGGATGGAAAAAAATCTTCCAAGCAAACAGAAATGAAAAAAAAGCTGGCGTAGCAATACTCATATCTGATAAAATAGATTTCAAAATGAAGACCATAACTAGAGACAAAGAAGCCCACTAAATAAAATTGAAAGGAACTATCCAAGAAGATTTAACCTTGAAAAACATATGCACCCAATATAGAAGCACCAAATATATTAAAAATTTTCTGGAGGACTGCAAAGGAGAATTCGAAGCAATACAGTCATAACAGGGGACTTCATCACCCTGTTGACACCAAGGGATAGGTCCTCTAGACAAAAAAATTAGCAAGGAAACAGAGACTCTAAATGAAGCACTAGACCAAATGTATTTAATAGCTATCTACAGAGAATTACACCGCCAAACTACAGAATTTACATTCTTCTCAAGTGCACATGGGACATTCTCAAAGATAGACCACATGTTAGGACACAAACTAAGTCTCTATAAGTTCAAGAAGATTGAAATGATATCAAGCGTCTTCTCAAATCTCTATGGCATGAAACTAGAAATCAATTGCAACAGGCAAAGACATTTGAACATATGGAAGCTACATAGCTTGTTATTAAACAATAAATGTGTCAATGAGGAGATTAAGGAAAAATTAAAAACTTCCTGGAATCCAATGGAAATGAACACACAACACAAAATCTATGGGATGCAGCAATAGCAGTTCTGAGAGGGAAGTTTATAGCACTACAGGCCTACCTCAAGAAGCAAGAAACATATCTAATAGACTACCTAACTTCACAACTTAAAGAACTAGGAAGCAAACAAAAAGGAAACCCCAGAGCAAGTAGAAGGAAGGAAATAGTAAAGATCAGAGCAGAAATAAATGACATAGAGAGCAAAAAAAAAAACAATTCAAAAAATTAATGAAACAAAGAGCTGGTTTTTCAAAAAGATAAACAAGATTCATGGACCCTTAGCTAGACTCACCAAGAAACAAAGAGAGAGAACCCAAATGCACAAAATCAGAAATGAAAGAGGAGAAGTAACAACTGATACCACAGAACTACAGAAGATTGTTAACAACTACTATGAACAATTATATGGCAACAAATTCAACAATCTAACCGAAATGGACAAATTTCTAGAAACACAGAGTCTCCCAAAACTGGACTGGGAAGAGATAGAAAACTTGAACAGACCAATGTCAACAGAAGAAATTGAAGATGTAATCAAGACTCTCCCAGCAAACAAAAGCCCAGGCCCAGATGGCTTCCTGGGAAAGTTTTACTGAGCATTCAAAGAAGAACTAACAGCCATTCTTCTCAAACTATTTCAAAAAAATTCAAGAATAAGGAAGACTTCCAAACTTGTTTTATGAAGCCTGCATAATTCTAATTACAAAACCAGAGAAAGACACTACAAAGAAAGAAAACTACAGACCAATATCCCTGATGAACATAGATGTCAAAATCCTGAACAAAATATTAGCAAATCAGATCCAGCAACACATCAAAAAATTATTCACCATGACCAAGTGGGATTCATCCCAGGAATGCAAGGATGGTACAATATTTGCAAATCAAGAAATGTGATACACCACATAAAGAAAATGAAGAATAAAAACCACATGATCATATCAATAGATGCTGAAAAAGCCTTCGACAAAATCCATCATTCATTTCTGATAAAAACACTCATCAGTGTGGGAATAGAGGGATCATATCTAGACACAATAAAGGCCATATATGAAAGACCTACAGCCAACATCTTACTCAATGGGCAGAAAATGAAAGCATTTTCCTTAAGAAGAGGAACAAGACAGAGATGCCCACTTTTGCCACTCTTATTTAACATAGTACTGGAAGTCTTAGCCACAGCAATCAGACAGGAAGAAAAAAATAAAATCCAAATTGATCTCACTTATTTCTGGAATATAATGAACTAAAGAAACTGATGAACAAAATAGACTCAGACACATAGAAGTAGGGTACAGACTTACATTTCTCAAAGAAAAAAAAAGGGAGATGGAAGGGATAAACCACGGAACTTATATACTGAATGCATAACTGATGGACATAGACAAGAAAACTGGGGACAAGGTAGGAGGAAATGAGGAGGAGGGAGTCAATGTGGGGAAAAAGGAGAAACATCTGTTACAAAAATAAATTAATAAAAACAAACAGATTTCAAAAAATCTTCCTTTTTGAAATTATTGCAGATGTCTCCCCCCTTTCTCCCATTAACCCCCTCCACCCTATTCCCGCCATCCTCTTGCTTTTCCCAAACTATTGTCTTTGTCCATTGATTGTGTATATGTGCATATAGGTTCTTTGGTTTATCTCTTCATTTCCCCCTATCAACTGAGGCTCTTATTAGCATATATCTTCCCAGGCTTCTATTTATATCACTTGGTTCTCTCTAGAAAGAGAACCCAAGCATCTACATTTAAAAGAAAATTGCAATAATTGTACTTTATTTTATTTATATTAATATTTTATTATGGATATATATGTTAATATAACTTTTTCTAAATTATGGATACATGTGCTATTTTATTTCTTTGTTTATTTTCTTTTAATTTACTTCCCTCTTTATTTTATTATTATTTTAAATTTCAATTAATTAATTTATTTTTGTTACAGAGGTTTCTCCTTTTTCCCTCACTGATTACCCCTCCCACTCCCTCCCCGCCCTCTCCCTGGCTTTTTGTCCATGTTTGTTGTTCATGCATACATGCATATAAGTTCTGTGGTTTATCTTCGCCCCCGCCACTGCCTCTTCTAGGGATAGTCAGTCTGTACCCCACTTCCACATCTCTGGGGCTACCCCATTCCTCAGACTGTTATGTTCATTATATTCCACAAATAAGTGAGATCATATGATACTTGTCTTTCTCTGTTTAGCTTGTTTCACTTAGGATGATACTTTCCAGGTCTCTCCATGTCATCTCAAAGGCTAAGAGATCTTTCTTTCTTACAGCTGTATAGTACTCCACTGTGTATATGTACCACCACATTTTTATCCATTTGTCTAATGATGGGCACTTGGGTTGTTTCCAGATCTTAGCTATTGTAAATAGTGCTGCTACAAAAATGGGGATACATACATTCTTTCTGACTGGTGTTTCAGGCTTCTTAGGGTATATTCCTAGAAGTGGGATCCCTGGGTCAAATGGCAGTTCAATTTTTAATTTTTTGAGGTAACACCATATTGTTTTCCACAGTGGCTGCACCAGTCTGCATTCCCACCAGCAGTGTACTAGAGTCCCCTTTTCTCCACACCATCGCCAATACTTGTTGTTTGATGATTTGTTGATGGAGGCTATTCTGACAGGTGTGAGGTGAAACCTCACTGTTGTTTTAATTTGCATCTCTCTGATGATTAGTGATGTTGAGCATTTCTTCATGTGTCTCTTAGCCATTTGTATGTCCTATTTGGAGAGGTGTCTATTTAGTTCCTCTGCCCATTTTTTAATTGGGTTCTTTGTCTTCCTTTTGTGGAATTGTATGAGCACTCTATGTATATTGGAAATTAACCCCTTATCTGATATATCATTAACAATTATACTCTCCCATACAGTGGATAGCTTTTCCGTTTTGATGATTGTATCTTTTGCTGTGCAGAAGCTTTTGAATTTGATGGAGTCCATGTGTTCATTTTCTCTTTTGTTTCTGTTGTCTTAGGTGATGTGTCAGTGAAAATTCTGCTGCGTATGATGTCTGAAATTTTGTTACCTACAATTTCTTCTAGGATTTTTATGGATTCATGAGTCACATTTAAGTCTTTTATCCATTTTGAGTTTATTCTTGTGTAGGGTGTAAGTTGATGGTCTAGTTTCATTTTTAAACATGTAGCTGTCCAATTTTCCCAACACCATTTATTAAAGAGGCTGTCTTTACTCCTCTGTGTGCTCTTGACACCTTTGTCAAATATTAATTGAGCATATGGCCTTGGGTCCATTTCTGGGTTTTCTGTTCTGTTCCACTGGTCTATATGCCTGTTCTTGTGCCAGTACAAGGTTGTTTTGATTACAGTGGCTTTGTAGTATAACCTGAAATCTGGAAATGTGTTCCCTCCAACTTTGTTCTTCTTTTTCAAGAATTTTGTGGTTATTCAAGGTTTTTTTTGTTCCATATGAATTTCTGAAGTATTTGTTCTAGTTCTGTGAGGTATGTCATTGGTATTTTGATGGGGATTGCATTGAAATATAGATTGCTTTGGGTAGTATGGCCATTTTAATGATGTGAATTCTTCCAATCCATGCACAAGGTATGTGCTTCCACTTTTTTATAGCTTCCACTATTTCTTTTTTCAATGACCTGTAGTTTTCTGTGAATAGGTCCTTTATTTCTTTGGTTAAGTTTATTCCTACGTATCTCAATTTTTTTTGCTGCAATGGTAAATGTGATTGTTTTTTTGTTTCTCTTTCTGTGAGTTCCTCATTGGTATATAAGAATGTCATCGATTTCTTGACATTAATTTTGTATCCTTGCTACTTTGTGAAATTCATTTATTAAGTCTAGTAAATTTTTGATGGAGTGTTTGTGAATTTCTACATATAGTATCATGTCATCTGCAAATAATGAGAGTTTCACTTCCTTTTTTCCAATTTGGATCCCTTTTATTTTTTCTCCCTGTCTGATTGCTGTGACTAAGACTTCCAGTACTATGTTAAATAAGAGTGGCAAAAGTGGGCATCCTTGTCTTGTTCCTGTTCTTAAGGAAAATGCTTTATTTTTTGCCCATTGAGTATGATGTTAGCTGTGGGTCTTTCACATATGGCCTTTATTATATTGAGATATGATCCCTCTATTCCCAGATTGCTGAGCGTTCTTGTCAGAAATGGGTGCTGAATTTTTTCGAATGTTTTTCATCATCTATTGATATAATCATATAATATTTTTAATTAATTTATTCATTTTTGTTGCAAATGTTCTTCTTTTTCACCCACTGAATCGCCCCTCCCCTTCCTTCCCTGGTTATATGGTCCTGTGCTGCTGCTTCTCTGTTACTTTTTTCCTAGGATTTGTCTTTAGTTTAGTTGTAATTCCCATTTGGTCCTCGAAGCTTGTCTGCATAGCTTCTATTCACTCTGCCTCCAGTTTCACATCCTCTATGTCTATCTTGTGTGTACCTGGGTTGCACAGGCCTCTCTGGTGCCTCAGTACCCAGTGGGTCCCACAGGTAACTGGATGACACAGTCCCTTTGGGGACCCCGCTCTATGCCTATGTTATGGGCTGCTGGGTCGCTCAGGTCTCTCTGGTGCTTCAGCACACCGCAAGTTCCACGGGTAATTGGATGGCACAGTCTTTGCTGGGTTGGACAGGCCTCTCTGGTGCTTCAGCACCCTGCAGGTACTGGGGGTAACCACATGGCAAAAGCCCTGCTGGGTTGCACAGGCCTCTCTGGTGCCCCTGCACCTTGCATGTCCCATGGGTAGGCAGCTGGATCACAACCGTCTCTCTTGGGCTCTGGCTTCCCACTACTTTTGTGAACTGCTGGACTAAACAAGCCTCTGTGGAGGTCCTGCTGCTGTTAGCTGGGGAGTGCTTTTGCCCCATGGGGCTCAACACCTGCTCAGATTTTGCTGTAGTTATTGGGTATGGGTCTCAGCTGCTTGTCTGTGCTTCTGTTGCCTGGGGATGGATGGTTGCTCCCCAGCCTCTGTTGCTGGGGGTATATTTTGACTCTTAAGGGCTGCTATTATGGGGGATGGTGCTGGGCTCCCCGCTGTCCGTGGCTTCCATGACCAGCACCTTGGAAGCTCCACTATTGTGCACAGGTCTGTGTTGACACATTGTCCTATAGTGCCAGGTGCACTGGTGGGCTCAGGTTGCTGGGCCCTAGCCACTCCCACTGCCTCCTCCCAGGGAAGACCCAGGATCTTCCAAAATGGTGGGATCTCCCCTTGGCGCAGGAAGAAGTGCCCTGAAGAGCCACTTACCCAGGTAGCTTGCTGCTCCATTCCACAGCACAGAAACCCTCTGCTCCACATCTCTGCACTGCTCAGATTTGGTCTTCCACCTTCAAGTCCACTCACATGCTCTCAGACACTAGCTCACTCTCTCACTCACTCACCTCCCTCTGGTCCTGCCTGCTGCCATCTGCGTCTAGACAGTTTTAAATGTCATGTCCAGTGGTACTTTGTACATTCACATTGCCGTGTATCTATCACCACCATCCATATCCAGAACACTTTTCACCTTGCAACAATGAAACTCTTTATATCCCAATTATACATTACCTTCTTCCCTCTTTCCCAAACCCATAGCAACCACTACTTTACATTATTTCAATGTGACTACTTTTGGGGCCTTGTATAACTGAAATTATACAGCATTTATCATTTCAAGACTGGCTATAATTGATTGAGGAGATGTTAGATATAATGAGAGATAGAATTATCAGCTAAATTGGAAATTATACATCCCAGTTGTCCTAGGAATGTACCAGTTGATAACTGCTTATTCAAACTCAGTATTACTACCATCCCATTTCTATTTCAAAATATTCTTGTTTAAACAAGACATTAAATAATCACCCTCTTTTCTCAAGAATTTGACCAAGATCACAAACAAGCAAAGATATGGAAAAATAAAGAAGAATCATTGGAAACATGTACAAAAAATAAATAACAAGAAAGAGAGAGCTATGGGTTTGTATGTTTGTTTGTTTTATAATAATAGAAACAAGACTGCTCATGACCAAGAGTTCTGGGTAATACATAAGAAAAGTGATAAAGGTATACTCATGTACTATATATAATCTTGGAGGGGCTATGACTTAAGGAGAGAGTCCAAAGTAATCTTCTAATTCCATTACAGCTGCGCTAAAATGAAAAATAGTGTAAACAGAAAGCAGAATGACAAATAGGTACATATACACTATATGACTTCAGATTGCACTTGTTTGATTTTGCTGCTTTATCCAGGCCTGTGAGCCAAAGATAATACCACAAGTATTGAGAGTAGACTATTCTTCAGATCAACCTCCATAGGGCACTCTTGATGTCTCTGTTCCTCAGGCTGTAGATGAAAGGGTTCAACATGGGGGTGACCACAGTGTACATCACCGAGGCCACTGCATCCTTCCTCAGGGAAGATGAGACAGCTGAACTGAGGTACACCCCAAGGCCTGTTCCATAAAATAAGCAAACTACTGACAAATGAGAACCACAGGTGGAGAAGGCTTTATATTTTGAAACTGATGATGGGATCCTCGCAATGGAGGAAACAATTTTATAGTAAGAGAAAAGGATCCCTGAGAGTGGAACACCAGCAACTATGGCACCAACAAAATAGATCAATATGTTATTGGTAGAGGTGTCTGAACAGGCAAGGTTGAGGAGCTGAGAAGGGTCACAAAAGAAATGAGGGATTTCCACATCTGCACAGAAGGTAAGTTGTGACACCATCAAGTAGTGCAGCTGGGAGTCCAAAAAGCTGAAGAAAAATGACAGCAGAACCAACAAGCCACAGGTACGGGGGTTCATGATGACCAGGTAGTGTAGGGGCTGACAAATGGCCACCAACCGGTCATAGGCCATCACAGCCAGAAGTAGACTGTCCAAACATCCAAAAAGAATAAAAAACGTAACCTGAGTTAGGCATTCTGCATTGGTGATGGATTTGCTGGATGTCTGGAGGTTCACCAGCATCTTGGGAACTGTAGTGGTGCTGAAGATGATGTCAGTTAAAGACAAATTACAAAGGAAGAAGTACATAGGTGTGTGGAGGTGAGAGTCAGAGACGACAGCCAGGATAATGAGTAGGTTCGCAATCATGATCACCAGGTACAAGGACAGGAACACCGCAAACAGAAGAGGCTGCATTTCTGGATCATCTGAGAGTCCCAGGAGCAAGAATTCTGAGTAACCTGTTTGATTCTGTGGTTCTGTGCAGATAGAACATGTTTGTTTTTTTAAAAGAGTGTTTTAAATAAATAAAACAGTGTTGAGGTGGCCATATTTTAAATTCAGCAATTCACAAATAATGTATTTAGACTTCAGGACTATACACACTGCCTGTATACCTCAGCAACATTTCTGAGTTGTTAACTCTTTTTAGAATTTTTTCTTATGCCTGTGCTATTCACCTGATTCTATATACACCTACTTTAGAGACACTGGTCAAAGAATATAAAAGATGAGAGGACATTTTGAGATAATAAATTCATGAACACAGTAAAATATCAGCCTTCTATTTTTGAAGGAAAAATATAAAATGAGAAATATTCGTTTCAAAAAAAAATTAATCATTCTAATTGAAAGACTTTAAGAGCCGGGCAAGTGTGGCGTAGTGGATTGAACATCGTTCCACGGACTGAGAGGTCGTGGTTCCATTACAAGTCAGGGCACATGCCCGGGTTTCCAGCTTGATCCCCAATAGGGGACAGGGAGTACAGGAGGGAGCCACTTTATTGTTCTCTCTCACATCAATGTTTCTGTATGTCTCTCTGCCTTCTCCTCTCTATAAAAAATCAATAAAAACACAATAAAGATAAATAAATAAATAAATAAATAAATAAATAAATAAATAAATAAATAACAGACAGTAAGAAGCAGTGGATGTTCTTTATCTCACACAAATAAAATAAAAGAAATTCCCTTTAAATGGAATGTAGTCTAGAAGAGCTAAAATCACATTACCTGTATTCTAACTTAAAATAAAATGTTCACAAACTGACAACATTTTTCTATGTCAATGGTCTTTAAGGCTTTTTAACTTTATTTAGGTTTATAACATCCAGCCTACACGTAGACAAGTGCTCACTCATATGTGTGGGTTTTCTGTTCAAATTTCCTTCAAATACAACTCAAATATACAATAATATTTGGCCATGGTAGACTTCACATTTTGTAAAAGATGTTTTTGTTAAGAGCACAAAATCATACAGCATCACTGATCCTGAAGATGGTATTAATTTACAGTGCACCTGTGATTAATAATGAATTTTCATGAATACTCTGCATTCATTTTCTTTGTTGAATGGTTATTTTCTATCAGTGATACACAATCTCAAAAAAATCTGAGATTGAGTTTGCACTTTATTATTTTAGATTGTAGAGTATTGGTAAAACTTCTTTTAAATTTATCTCTAAACACAAACATTTGTAAAGGGTTGATTTCTCAACACCAATCCTCCAATGAACAGTTGAGAAACTTAGAACCCAAACCATGTCTCAAATATTAAGTTGGCCTTCTTATGCCAGCTTAAGAGTTCTTCAAATCAGTTCTTCTTTGCAGAGAGATTGTTTCCCCTAAATTCAATCCCCTGAAGACAACTCAGGCCATTTCTTTTGACAGTTAAAGCTTCTTCCATATTTGACATTACCTGTCTGTGCTTCTCTTTATTTTAATTAACAAGCCTTGGAATGTTCCTCAATTAATCAGAAACCTCTTCCCAGGAGGTCAGGAATATTTTTAGTGTTAAAACTGTCATTAAACTCTTATAAGATGGTGGTGGGCAGGACTGGAGGGAGGGTGAGTGTGTGAGAGAGTGAGCTAGTTTGTGAGAGAGTGTGAGTGGACGTGAAGGTGGATGACCAAACTCCTGCAGTGCAGAGACATGAAGCAAAAGGTTCCTGTGCTGTGGATGGAGCAGCTGGCTACTGCTAAAAGCAGTTCTTTAGGGTGCTTCACCCTATGAGGTGGGGAGGTCCCACCATTTTGGAAGATCCCAGGTCTTCCATGGGAGGAGGCAGTGGGAACTGCTAGGGCCCAGCAACCTGAGCCCACCAGTGCACCTGGCACCATCAGACCAGTAGACACTCTGTGTCAATGCAGACCAGTGCACAGTAGTGGAGCTGCCAAGGTGCCACTTGCAGAAGCCCTGGAAAACCAGGAGCCCAGCACCATCCCCCACAGTAGCAGTCCAATCAGGGTCAAGATATACCCTCAGGAGCAGAGGATGGGGAGCATACTTCCATCCCCAGGCAACAGGAGCACAAACCAGCAGCTGAGACCCATCCCTAAAACATACATCAAAAGCTGAGCAGGAGTTGAGCCCCACGGGGCAGTAGCACTACCCAGCCACCAGTGATGGGACCTGGGGCTCCACAGAGGTCTGTGCAGTCCAGCAGCTCACAAGAGTGGTGGGAAGACGGAGCCTGAGAGGGACTTGTGCGATCCAGCTGCCTATGGGTCCTGCAGGGTGCTGGGGCACCAGAGAGGCCTGTGCAACCCAGCTGCACACAAGATAGGCTTAGAATATGTGAAAATGGAGGCAGAGTGAATGGAAGCTATACTGATGATTTCCCAGGACCAAACAGGAATTACAAATTAAATAAAGACAAATCCTTGGGAAAAAGCAATGGAAAAGCAGAGGAACAGGACATATAACCAAGGACACTGGTAAAATCTGCAGAGGCAGGAGAGGGTGGCAAGCTGAGATCCTAAGGACAGTGGCAATCTTAGCTGTGAGCAGCGCCCTTGGGAAATAAAGACCAAGCCTGTTCCACAGCCCAGAGAGCCAGGACAGAGTGCTAAAACAGCTACAACCACTCACCTGGGGGCTACGGCAGAGGAAGGGCAGACAGGGCTGGAATTCTGTGGAGACACCGATTATTTGGAGGGCACTCAGGGTTTTGCTGAGTTGTGGCCACAAAGGATGGTGGCCAGTGCGCTCCTTCCCCAAGCTGTGATGAAAAGCAGCAAGCACCGCCCTCAGAGATTAAGTCTTTCCCAGGTGAAGCAAAGAAATAAAAATTGAGGCTCATTAAAAACCAGCATCTATCCCACCCTATGGAAATCCTCTTATGCAGAACACCAGGGCTACATCCCAAGGCACTGAGTAACTGAGACTAATAGCCACCAGAAAGAAGCTACAGGATAACTGAACCTTTCCTGGGCTTGCAAGTCTACCCAGGAAAGTAAGACTTGACAGGGGTGTTTAACGTCGGCCCACCCAAGCTAATACAAACCCAGTAGAATAAGCCACAAACAGTAGAACACCAACACCCAAAGGGAATATTTTGCAAGTTCCAAAACCCACTGAGATAGCCAAAATGGTGAAGCAAATAAACTAATTACAAATGATAGTAAAAGAGACCTCTACTGAAGATGACATCAATGAAATGCAACTAAGCAAATAATCAGAGGTGCAGTTCAGAGCCATGATCTTGAGGAAGTTCAACAGCATAAGTAAGGACATCAGCACCATGAGTAAAGCTATAGAAATATTGAAAACCAACCAAGTGGAAATGAAGAACAACATAGCAGAAATAAACAATACATTGAAAGGACTAAACAGCAGAGTAGAAGAAGCTGAGGACCAGATCAGTGAATTAGAAGAGAGGGTAGAAAAAATCAACCAATCAGAAAACCAAAAGGAAAAAAAACAATTAAAAAAGAGGAAGATTGTTTAAGAGAACTGTGGGACAACTGGAAACGTAATAACATTTGCATCATAGGAGTCCCCAAAGAGGAAGAAAATGAGTAAGGGTTACAGAATATATTTGAAGAAATAGTGACAGAAAACTTTCCTAACTTGGTGAAGGAATAAGTCATTCAACTTCTAGAAGCACAGAGAGCCCCAAGTAAGAAGAACCCAAACAGGCCCACACCAAGACACATAGTAATTAACATGCCAAAAATTAAAGACAAAGAGAGAATCCTAAAGGTAGCTAGAGATAAGCAACAGGTTACTTACAAAAAAACAAACAAACAAAACATAAGGTTCTCAAGTCACTTCTCAACAGAAACAATACAGACCAAAAGGGAGTGGCTAGAAGTAATCAAGGTCATGAAAAACAAGAATCTGAATCCAAGACTACTCTACCCAGCAAGGCTATCATTCAAATTGGAAGGTCAAATAAAGAGCTATCCAGACAAAAAAACGCAAAGGAAATATATTAACACCAAAGCAGCACTGCAAGATATGCTAAAAGGACTACTGTAATTAGTAGAATAAATAGAAAGAAAAATATAACCATACTAAACAAAAATGGCAATAAATAAGTACATATAAATTATCACTTTAAATGTGAATGGATTGAATGCTCTGATATACAGACACAGAGTAGCTAACGGGATAAGAAAGCATGACTCACTTACATGTTGTTTACAAGAGACCCACCTCACAACAAAAGACTCACATAGGTTGAGTCTTTTTTCCATCAAGGAAAAAAATCTTTCAAGCAAACAGAAAGCAAAAAAATGCTGGGGTAGCAATACTCATATCTGATAAAGTAGATTTAAAAATGAAGACCATAACTAGAGACAGAGAAGGCCACTACATAATATTGAAAGGATCTATCCAACAGGAGAATATAAGCTTAGTAAACATATATGCACCCTATATAGGAGCACCAACGTATATTAAAAATCTTCTGGAGGACTTCAAAGGAGAAATAGACAGCAATACAGTCATAGCAGAGTACTTCGACACCCTGCTGACATCACTGAATAGATCTTCTAGACAAAAAATTAACAAGGAAACAGACTCTAAATGAAGCGCTACATCAAATGGATTTAAATTATATCTACAGAGAACTACACCCCAAAACTACAGAATTCACATTCTTCTCAAGTGCACATGCGACATTCTCAAAGATAGACCACGTGGTAGGACACAAACTAAGTCTCTACAAGTTCAAGAAGACAGAAATCATATCAAGCATCTTTTCAGATCACAATGGCATGCAACTAGAAAATAATTGCAAGAAGAACATGCAAAGACATTCGAACACATGGAGGCTAAATAGCATGTTATTGAACAATGAATGGGTAACCACGGAGATCAAGGAAGAAATTTAAAAGTTCCTAGAAATAATGAAAATGAACACACAATAACACAAGATCTATGGAATGCAGCAAAAGCAGTTCTGAGAGGGAAGTTCATAGCACTACAGGCCTACCTCAAGAAGCAAGAAAAATTTCTAACAGAATGTCTAA